TTCTGTGGCAGATGCTAAACTTACGAAACCTGTGTAGTGTATCATCATCTTCACAAAAGTTTGTGGGCTAGCTTGCGTATATCTGGCTCGGTGGATAAGCTGTAGGATGCTTCCTGCAGCCATATGGACATGTATATCATTTGTGCCCTGTCTGATAGCATTTTAACTATAGTACTTTTGTTAGGAGTAAGGAGTATGCAGTCAGTTCTTGTGATGCTGGGGAGGTTATCTGTAAATTAAGCACACAGCACAGATGCAGAGACACTCTGTACCGTAATGCTGCCAGCCACAAGCTGGTACATCTGCATTATGCTAGGATGACTTCACCACTTCTGATCAGCACTGGCCCAAAAACATTCCTTAGCTTTCTGCCTCCTCCACTGTCCTCACTAGTACGCTCTCATGCCCTAATTATTCATCCTATATTCCCGATTACCCGTACTGAGTGTACGTTGCTTGAAGAGAGGTTGCTGCTCAGTGGTTAACTCTGTTACTGCCTCTAAGAAAATGAGCTTCTGGATAAAATTGGGAAAGGTAAATCTTTTGTTCTCATAATGAAGAAGGCCCGGGCCCGGGCCTTCTTAACCACTGCCTCCATTATCAGCAGAAACATACCACCAGGCTGACTTTTGCTAGGTCGCTCAGAACTTTCCACGGGAGGAGACACTTCCAGGCTTAAAACTTGAAACTTCTTGTCACAGCCTGGGTCATAATCTGCATCAGGTCTCTTTATTTTGCTTGCTACCAGGGAGAACCAGAATCTGGATGCTCTTACGATGCACCTGGGATTTTCAGTCATTCGGTTCTTCTTTCTTCTAGTTGTTAATGTCCTACAAAATATTCTCTAGTGGCTCTGTTCCCACTTTTTTCTCATTTTCCACCTCAAATATTCCTTCATCCCTGCATCTGCTGCTATGAGTGTGCTGTTCTCCTTTTATGAAGCTCAGCACCGTTAGCACATAAGGTCCTGACTAACTCCTTGAATGAAGAAGGGGTAGCTTGCGTTTTCCCCACTCTGAGAGTACTGTGTGAGCTCTCCTATGAGTTGGCTGCTCCACGCGAGAGGAGGAGTGACAGCAAAGGTGTCATTCATCCTTCTTCCCCAGGAGACCCTGCAGGATGTTTTTGTTCTCGATTTGCAGTGATCCTTCATGTCTTCAGTAAATCTCCCTCAGCCGGGATGTCTGTTCCATGGCGATAGAGGAGTGCAAAATGCCCTGCTTTGGGATCACCTTCACTAATATCACTGTGCTCTTCTGAAATGAATTTCTAAATCAGAGCAATACTATGGAAGGATTAACATAAGATTAGAGTATTTATATTAAAATGTCTTGCAATGTGAAAGAAATACATGTTCTTAGGTTATAACTAGAAAGTCATTTTAACTGTTCTACTAATTAAAGGTTTTCTTTGCCTAGTGCTAATGAAGAGACTGGATTTCATGCCACTGGGACTAGAGCCTTTTGCATTACCAGTTGCTTTTTAATTCTAGTGTAAGTGGTAGTATTTCAAATACAGAGCTTCTCAAACTACTGGGAGCAGGACAGTGATGCACTGGGAGCTAAGCAGCGCTAATATCCAGGGGGTTTTGTTTGCTAGCACACTTCCTTGTGTGGGCTGTATAGTGGTTTCATGCCGATGCTTATTTGGGCCCTTGCATGGATTACTTAGTCTGACCATCATGGTACTTATCATCTGGCCAAAAATAAACCATCCTAAAGTGACAACTTCGATAACCTATTGACTTCAGTGCATTATTCTCAAAAAGAGATTGTTTACTCTGGGAAAGTTGTATGAAGTTTTCTTTTTCTTTTTTTTCCTATCTCTTTTTTTTTTTCAGACTACCTAATGCCATGACTAGTGGACTGGTGCTCTTATAAAGATTGTCTGAAATGTAATCTAAATTGTTCATACATAGCTACATGTTTATTGACAGTCACAAAATACGCTGGCAAATACACAGCATGCACTGTGATTTTTTGAAACTTCATTGACAACTGCCAGCTTCCCATGTAAATTTTATGCAGAAACACATAGAGACACACACACACGTCATCTTATGTTTTTTCATTCATTTGGAAGGTTTTGTGTAAAACATCTTCTCATTGACATACTGGCATGCTCTGCTTGGTTAGCCTTGAAGCCTTGACTAAGTGATGGGGCTAGTCCTTTGAAGTGAAGCCAAGAAGTCTGTGATGACTTAGTTCTCTTTGTCAAACAGGATAACAGAAGTTGATAGTTAGTTCTTTGCGGTGTATTTTTCACAGTGGGTAACTGTGGAGTTTAATATAGCCACATAAGCATGAGCATGCTTGAAGCAGGTAGGTCATGTACCCAAAAGAGAACAAGTGCAGGTCTGTATTCAGATTGGCTCAAGCACGTTCAGCATCTGGCTGACTTGCCAGTCTTTAGCGAATAGTGAGGAAAGAGGAGGCTGAAGGCCATCCTCAGTTTCATTTTTTTATGAGCTCCTCTTGCCACTGTTAGGAACTGACTCATCAGCTTTTCCAAGTGGGGTTGAAAACTGTGCTGAGAACTGAGAGCTCTGAAATACTGCTATATTTAATCCATAACTGTCAACATTTGAAAACAATTTCCTGAGGTAATTCTGATAACTTTCCAACTGAAGCAAATGTGCATAACCTCTGTATTTTTATTTATATCATTATTTTAGAGACATGATATCCTTTTCCCTGAAAGAAAAATCTGTGACAGCAGTGCCATGACTGCTGCACAGCATCCCCGAATTTCCTCAGTTGCTTTGTGATACTATCATCTGGACAGTGCCCAGGACGAGGTGGAAGAAGTCTAGATCTTCCAACCTTAGGTTGGTTAAGGGTGATGGAAAGTAATGAACAGAAGGTTAAACAGAAGACTGTGAATGTGGAGAGCATGGCAGGACTCCTAGTTATCAGTGCCTCACAAACTAAGCGTGTATAAGGCTGCTTTTAAAGATTACCTTCCAGATGAAAAAGCTGTTCAGCCTTTATCACAAGGACGTAACACTCCGAAGGATACGCAGACCTTGAGCAATTAAATCAGGATAGCAAAAGCAAGTATAGAAGCCAGGTACTCATAAGGAGGAACAGTAGCACACTGGAGAAAGTTTCTTGCCTGGTCTGCATAAAGAAATCTGCATAAGTTATACAAAGACACACTTTTCTCATTTCCCTGCATTTGCTTCATATGCTTGTTTACCGCACATTAAATGCATTTACATATCCAGCAATGAAATGGAAATGATTGATGCAAAGGAGGTATTTTTGTTAATTGTTGTTGCCCTGAGTCATGCTAGAATGGGAATGCTGGAAGTGGGTGAAGAAAGACGGAACTATTATTAGTGGTGTAAATAATTGTCAAGAGCAACTTAAACCCATCTGTTATCACATATCAACATCTAAAATTATCCTAAGATGGGAGAGGCAGCAATACAAGGACTAAAATGACACTACGTCTCTGCTGGTGTAGATGTTGGCAACTGTCTCTGAATCTTTGTCCATTTTTTCATTTCTGCTGCCTGGAGCCTCAATCATTTTCTGTAACTATCCTGTCAGTGCCTGCTGGATGTTGCAATAAAGTGTCTTGGGTCCAGAGGTTATGAGCATTTGAGAGGGAGATACAGTTTTTTGGCTGCTTTATCTGCACAACACTAGTGAAATGTGTGCTGTTTGTTCTGCTCATTGGAAGGCAATTCTGAACGTGCTCTCATGCATGCAAGGTAGAGCCAAGGTGAGAAGAACATTGAATGTGAGAAAGGAAAGCTAGCTATACTTGGTGTACTTGAAGACAGTGCTTTTTCACAGTGGAGCTGTTCTCCTGCAGAGCACATGAGATTTCTGATACTTCCTAGTCTGCAGGAATAGTGAAGAGGGATTTTAGAAATATCTGTCCATGAATGGTTGTGGGATCCTCTGTTTCTCTGTTAATGTGGACTGTGTAAGTAACTGAAGTAGATCAAAATAGCTCTAGTGCAGTCTGATCATGTGCGAGCAGCAGCCAGAAAACACAGGCCCCAAATTAGTTTGGAAATATCATCCTTCAGAGCATTGTCATTAGTACAAATCACACAACTTCCAATGCAAGTGATAATGAAAATATCTTGGTGCTCCGCCGTTCACATCCTTCCACCTGTAATCCTTCTGCTGTGAAACAATTTTTTGAAACAGGTGTTTCCAGTAGATAATAGTTCAAGAAATGACCCTGCAACAGTGTAGAGTCAATAGTTTGACCCTGTAACCTTATTCCGGAAATATATTATAGCTCTTGTAGATGGAGAACTCAGAATGAATAAAGACAGATGATCAGCCCTGTTTCCTTTTGATTCGTATGAACTGGGGGATATGTCTGCATTTAAAGGAACATTAAGGAACATGACTATTTTTATGACAAATGAAAGCAGAGGTTTCTGGAGAAGCTGTAGGGAGTCTAGAGACAGAAAATGGATGATATCGGAAAAAGACTTGGGGATTTTTAATAGTTTCTAGATTTTTCATTCAGCTAAAGTGAGCCCTTGTGTAAGATGGCCCTCACAAAGTGCTGGCTTGTTTATAGGATAGCTTGTCTCCAGCACTGCTTACTTTCCTCATCGTTGTGTAGGCTCAAGAAAGAATATTGAGATCAGAGCTTTCTGAAGAAATCTTAGGACTCATGATTTATTAATGTATTGTCTGCAGTCAGATGAGTCATACAAACTCACGAGTCTATTTTTGTACCATACTGAGCATTAATTTTAGTCATGAATCTTCTGCTGGTTATTCTAGCTGACAGAAATCGTAAGTGTTTTGGTTTTGTTTTATCCTTATGATATCACCCTGTAATTTAGGTTAGTTGTTATTGAATAAAACATTTTCCAATAAAAAACTCAATCTGTGAAAGCCTGCTTTAAGCATACTCAGTTGCAGTCCATTTCAGATTGCCATAAATAGATGTACCAACTCTCAATTCAGCAGCTTAAAGATGAATTGACAATGTGAGTTCTGCAGTTATTTGTTCTATTTCAGATCAATATTTCTTGGTGTTTCTTTTGTATTCCCGACAGGTGAGGTTGAGTACCTTTATGTCAACAAATGCTTTTATACTACATGATTATAACTAATTTTAAATGAGCACTTGTCTAAAATTAAGTCATGTGAATGAATTTTCATCCTCTCATGATCTTCGCTCCAACCCATTTAAGGATAGGATTCTTCCTAAGTAGATGGCTCGTGCTAGTCTTCCACATGATGTTATTTTTGGTGCTTGCAGCATCTCCATGGTTTTGTTCATGCTTTGCATATTGTCTAACCAACTGCTATGATATGTGGATTATCATCCTGTATTTGCATGTTTCAGTTCAAAGAGAAGCGGCAAGATCTTGCCAAAGAGAAGTGGTAAAGAATGGTGACACAATGCAGTCCTTTGGGGGTCTGTTGGGCTTCTCAGTGCCAGCAGAAGATAGGAAATGTTGTATCAGTTCTCCACGTTGTCCTTTAGCTGTAGCCCATTTTTTCCCCACTTTTTCTGATATTACAGCACATTAGCATTTCAAAGTAGAGGGGAGTACAGTTCAATTAATTGGTTTCTACATGAAGTAACTACCACTGAGCAGTTGAGAGGTCAAAGGAATTCCTTTTTCTTTTAGTTGCTTATTACCTTTGATCTCTCTCTCTTTGTCCCAGTCTACCGGGTATTTTATTCACAGTATTTAACAAGCTTTGTGGTTTTTACTGTCTGACAAGCAGGCACTTTAACTGCCTGCGTTCTCCTGGGAAAAGTGAAGGGTGGTGGTGGTGTTGGCTGGTAATCATTTTATTGGAGAATAATAAAGTGAAATCCACTAAATCTGAAAACTGTGTTTAATGATGTGTTTCAGGAACTTCTACTACATTACAATGCTGAGGGATCCGGTGTCACGGTACTTGAGTGAGTGGAAACATGTCCAGAGAGGTGCAACTTGGAAAACTTCCCTTCATATGTGCGATGGAAGAAGCCCAACACCAGATGAGCTTCCTACCTGTTATGAGGGAGAAGACTGGTCTGGAGTCAGTTTACAGGAATTCATGGATTGTAGCTACAACTTAGCCAACAACCGCCAGGTGCGCATGCTGGCAGACCTCAGCCTGGTGGGATGTTACAACTTGACTTTTATGAACGAGAGTGAAAGAAATATCATCCTTCTCCAAAGCGCCAAGAACAATCTGAAAAACATGGCCTTCTTTGGACTCACAGAATTTCAGAGGAAAACACAGTATCTCTTTGAGAGGACATTCAACTTGAAATTCATTTCTCCATTCACCCAGTTCAACGTTACACGGGCCTCCAATGTGGACATAGATGACGATGTACGGCAACGGATAGAGGAGCTGAATTTCTTGGACATGCAGCTCTATGAATATGCGAAGGACCTCTTCCTGCAGCGCTTCCAGTACTCCAAGCAAGAGGAGCATCAGAAGAACCGGCTAAAGAGGCGAGAGGAGCGGAGGCTGCTGCGGGAGCAGAGAGCTCACCAGTGGCCAAAGGAAGAGGCGGCGGCAGCACAAGTTGCTGTTACTGAAGATTATAATAGTCAGGTTGCAAGATGGTGATACCCCTCCCTGTTGGCTAGATGACGAATGGATCAGAGAGGCTAATATTTTGTGCAACTTGGTTACCTGGAAATCAGCCAAGGAAGGTCTCCTGCTTTGGCAAATGAGAAAAAGTCTGACAACTACCCTTCCTTGTCTCAGTTTTTCTTGGTTTCTGTCAGTGAGGAGAATGTATTTTTTTCTTGATAGACATCAATCAGTGTTATTACATGGCAGTAAAATAGATTCCTCTCCAAACAGACTTCCTTCAAAGCCCTAAGCTATGAGAAAGGGTTGAAGAGAGAGCTATTTCCTTTGCAGTAGCAGATGTACCCTACACAATCTTAGCTACCGAAACTGGCGCAGGATGAATCAAAATTGAGAAAAAAAAAAAATCCTGTTGGTTCCTCTGTGATAGTTGGCTGCTGGCTTATTTCATACTGTCCTTCGCAACTGTAGTGGCAAAGGACAACTGTAGTGGCATAGTTTTCCAGTGAATGAACATATTGCGCTTCAAACTTTTACATGCTGTGTTTTGATTAAGGAAAGAATTTGCTGAAGTGATAAAAAAATGCCTAGGAAACATGTGGGATTGGTACATTGCTTGTTCAGTTTTTTAAGACTGCAGTTGGGGTTGGTTTGTAAGTGAAGAGATGGGGGATTTAGCTTATTCCTCCGCAGATGTTAAAGAGTACCAAACCCAGCCAAGCAGCAGCCGTCTTTCTGAGTGTGTGTGGCAAAGGGAAGGGTGGAGTGCAAAAACTGAGAAATGAGGTCCACAGTGCAGCTGGGCACGCATTGCAGAGATTATCTGGCTGCAGGCAGTGAAATCAGCCTTCACATTCACAAGAGGTGAAGAGGGGCCAAGCAAAATATAGGAAAGAGGAAACAGAGCAGGAAAAGCTTAAACATTAGTGTGACATTTTCCAGATTTGCCATAAAAGCCTGGAGATATATTATCTGTGAAGGAGGCAGGTTTATGATATTGTCTCTTAAAATACACTGATGCCAAGTGAATACAATTTAAACTGGTTTTCTCCCTAACTACAGTAGTGGCTAGAAAAAACATAAACTTTCATTTTTACAGGATGCATAACAGATATGTGAAAAGTCTTGATATATATTGCTCTGTATGAAGATTCTTTGTAAATTTATTGTTTTCCTGAACACAGATATCTGTATCTAGTTTTCTTCCTTGTCTAGAAAAAGATTGGATGGGTTCTTCCTCCACATGTTACATTCTTGTGGCTAAATTGCATCTGTTTATTTCAAGATTTTATGTTGACTCTATTTGTAATAGCAGAATTTCAAAAAGAGGGTCCTGTGCATCATAGATCTTTTGAGAGAGTATTTTTCCTTCTTCTTCTAGCATAAATCTAAAGCATTAGGAGGAAACTTCTTTAAGTGCCTCAACATGGCTGCTAAACCAAGATGCTAAACGTATATTATCGCACGCATGAATGGCTTTTACCTTACAGATTCACTGATTAGCGGTATCAGACTACCCAGTGTGTATGCACATCTCATTTGTTTTCAGAATTCAAATTTTTTAGCCAGTCAGTAAAAATGTAATCTGCTACAGAAAAAGAAGCGGATTCTGCAGATTTGTTCCTTCCTTTCTAAATCTCTTGTTTTTAGTGTGTGCTGTATCTTTCTTTTCTTCCAATAATGCTATTGCTACTTATCTATGCACTACATTATCACAAAGATGATCCAATGGTCCTGTTGGGAGTCTGTGCATACAAAAATAGACGAAACATGGAATGTCGTAAAGGCTATTAAGAAGAGAAGAGGGCTAAAGGGATGCCCTATTATCAGTGTAGTTCATTAGCAATTTTCTAGTTTATGCCTGATTATCAGTACAGTACTTTTTGGAAAAGTAGCAGTATTTTTTGGCCCCTAATGTTTGTTCTGTTGCTGGATCCCATGCATTTCCTCACACTTCCACGCTGAGAAGGGAAAGTGCAGGGCTGCAGATAGTTACTCTGGTTACCGCGGGAAGAACTGAGCAGCTCTCTGGACGCCACTGACTGCATCGATTAAATCCCCCTGGCCGGGCATAGGGGTTTAGGCACCTCGTTCCCACATGGATGCCTGTATTCAGGCATTTAAATCAAAGCATTTACAGTCTGGAGCTGAATCCCACTCTGTGTGTCCTGGTCACAGGAACAGCGAGGTCATTAAAGGAAAGGCAAATTCAGATTAAGGAAGAAGAAAAACAAATAGTCAAGTCAGTCCCAGCCTGCCCTTTTTTTGTAAAGCATCCCCTTTTTTTTCCTTCAAAGCCCAAGGAGGGTCCCTTTCCTCGCTTCCCTGCCTCTGTGCCCTGCAGGCTGCCTCTCTGTGCCGCTTGCAGCAACGGGGGCCTCCTTTTTCATTTTGGAAATGGAGTATTATCTTCTCAGGGCAGAGGAGGGAGAGATCAGAAATTGCTCCCGGCAGCCTCACCAGTTACCGTAAGTATCACTTTCAGCTGTCTACGCACACCGATAGCTCTCCAGACTCTTTCTGCTGCTTGACACAAAACAAAACTTAATGAGGAAAATTGAAGGGGGGTCTTTGGGTAGTTTACATTTGCTTTAATAGTTTGGCAATACTTTAATGCTATGCCTAACCTTTCAGTCAGTCATTTCCCAGGAGACGCGATTAGGGTCCTGAAGAGCTGCTAATGTGCTGTAGCATCCATGTTAACAGGATTTGCCGCAACGCTTGGGATTTAGTTAAAATTGAAGGCGTGTGTAGCACAGACTACTGTTTGCGCAGGAGTACTTGAGGGGCTGGGAGCTCATTGTCCCCCATGCTCATGGGCCTGAAGGCCCCCGACAGCTCCTTCGTGAGCTACAGCATCAGACCCAGCAAACTCGCTGCGCCAATGGTCCTGATGTTCTGAGCAGAATTTCCTGGCACATCAAAATAAAGCAGTTTTGAAATACTTTCAAGCTGACTTCTTCTAAGACACAGACTTGCAGCTTTTTCCTCTCAGGCACCGTGCCCAAACTAATGTAACGCAAAAGCAAAATAAAGGCCCTGGTTCATATCTCTGTTATTCCAGATTTTCATTGCTCTGACAGCACGGACTTCACTGTAATTACACTGGCTTATGTAAGATCAGAGCTCAGTATGTTCCTTTCAAAACCTTTGTGAGCAACAACGCTATAGGATTTCTGTCCATCTTCCTGGCATTATTTTGTTGCTTAAACAAGGCAGTTTGGCTTCTGCTACTGTGGTGCTGAAACGAATCTCACTCTTTTGTAATGGAGATGTACTTACTAATCTCTCCCATCACATCCTCAGCGCTGGCTGCCTTTCCCAGTTATAATTTGCTGAAGGCTTGGAGCGGACAGAGAAACAAGCTGTGTTGTTAAAACTTGGGGCTCCTGTTCCTGATAATTTGATGTCTGGTCCAAGAACTCAGACTATTGCCTGTAGGGCCATACTTTATTAAGAAATGAAAATTTGTCCTCTTTTCTCCTCTCCTCAGTGCTAACAATAAAATACTTTTTCACCAAGGGGGAGGGAGGGGGAAAGCCACATAGTTTCTCATGTCTGGTGTTCTCCCTGCAGCTGTGGAAACGATGAGGCTGTAATAGCCTTGCGAGGACTTCTGCCCAATATGTGGTATTTTTTTGCAGTTTACTAAAAACAGAAATACGGAACAAGCAACTAGTGGAAGTCAGATCCAGAGCCACATTTCCTAGTTTCAGCGTGTCTGTTCAGCAATACCAAAGAGGCCACATGACCTTTGAATCTGGAAATGTTTTAGTGTCTGTGCCCACCTCCAACCAGGCTGGCTTTCTTTCCTACGAGTGCTGAAAGAGGCCCAAGTATCAATTGCTACAAGTGAGCCTGTGTTGATGTGGACCTCTCTTAAGTTGGCTTTCTTGTTAACATGCGCTTCCTTCTGCACTGGTGGGTTCTTGTTTCCCACATGCAGCATATCTTAGTACTGAGCACCAATGTTATGACATATGTCATCTCACTGACACTGGTTTTTTTTCCTCCGTTGCTGTTCCCTGATTTATATGGAATTTTTCTTTCTTTGCTCTGGGACATGGAATATCCAGTTTCCAGGCTGGTGCAGATTGCCCTGTACAAGGCCCTGAGATGAATAGTCATTACAATAAAATCAGTCTGCTAAAATAGACTGCTGCATCCTCCCTATGCCTAGTAAAAGCATACTCAGAAAGATACCCAGTTTGCATTAGAACACATCTCTCAGTTTGGTTCTTGTATCATTTTCTTTGTTATTTTGTGGAGAGAAATGGATTCTATAGCCTAAAATGTCCTTGGCTTGCTTCTTGGCCATCTCACTAGCGCTATGATTTCAAATAAATGTTGGAAGTGAAAAAAAAAAATGTAAGGAGTTCTCAGCAGCTGCCATATTTAAGACAAAAGGGTAAGTTAGTAGACTGTGTATTATTTTATTCTTTAGCAATTTTCCTTCTGTTTGTGCAATAATGTGTGTGAACTCTGCTACTAAGAGATTGTATCGTGAGTAACCATATCTACTTTTATTCCTAATTAAAAGATAGTTTGTAGACCTAGGAATTTTCATTGATGTAAAGCACAACTTAATGAATTATTTAATGTGTTTAACCATTGTGATGTCAAAAACAATCGTTTTCATATATTTATTTGCTGGTGGTTTTCTGTAAAATGATACTCTTTATGAAAAAATGTTAAAAATGAAGAAATTTTGTTGACTATTGTTGGGTCCATGAACTACTTATGCGCAACAAATAAACATTGATTGCATTTTTGAAACACCAAAGGTTCTCTCTTATCTACATGGCCATAAAAAATGACAGAGAACACTTCTGTCGGACTGGTTTTAAGCATTAGTAAAGCTCCACCATGCCCATAGTTATGCTCCTTTTTTAACAAACCATACGTGGAGGCAAATACGTTGATACAACTTAGTTTTTGATTAGCTTGGGGCCCAATCGCAAATCTCATGATTCCAATCGACTTTAGTAGGCTTTATCTCAGATTGAATTAAGGTATGAAACTCAAGACTTGAGTAGTTGCTAGCATTAATTCAAGTTACCCCAGTGTCAGAATTTGCATAATTAGAGTGAATTAAGACTTAAGTATGCAAATAGTTGGTTGAAATTGTGCTAGTGAATTCATTGGACTTCATTTTTATTCCAGTGTCACTGATGACCGGACAGAACTGTCAAGAAAATCTAGTGAGCTACTGTGGGGAAGGATAGGAGAATTTGCAGTTTGTTGCTGCACTGTTAGCTTGGCGTGCATGCCCTTGCATCCTCTGTGAGTGCATGGACCTTGGGAGGAGCTGACTGCATATTCAGCCATACTAAACCATGTAAGTGATTGAATACCATGAATTAGGAGAGGGGTGGGAAGATGGTGGTGCGTGGATCGACTTGGGCAAGAAGGAAATACTGACCTCTCTCTTGCAGAGTAACTTCTGTTTGGTCTACTCCTTCAGAGAATACTTTGGGCCTCTGTTCGTTCTCTGATTATTTTAGCAGACCAAAACTTCCCCACACTTCTTTATTTCCAACAACAAGCCCTGCATACATGCTACATCCCTGGAGGTGAGTCTAGTTAAAAGGGAAGGACATGCTGCAGCAGATTAGGATGGAGTGACTGACCTACCCCTTTTTGATCAAAATCAACTGACTTGTGCTGTGCTGTGGAAAACTGTATTAATGGCAAAAGAATAATATAGCCTGCATGAGAAATTATTCCTGGGAGACAACAAAACCACCATTTGATGAGGGCAGCAGAAGAAAGGAAGTTCTCAAAGATTCAGGATAGTTTTAGTTTCTAAATTGTTCCTCACAGAACCTTGGACTAAAACAGCTACTATTTTAAAAGCATCTTTGTAACGTGAGGCTGTTTGCATCTATGCTGATCGGTACATTTCTGAAACATACTCTTATACCATTTCCCCAGTTTTATATTTTTCTAGATCCATTCACTTCTGAATATATTCATCACTGAATTCACCTGTGCTCCTGGTCTACACTTGAACTCTTTGCATCTGGAGTGTTGAGGTATCAGAGGGCCTTATGACCAGGTTAAGTCAGAGG